AGGGGGTCGAGGGTCTGGAATGCAGGGAGGGGCAAGGGGGTCGAGGGTCTGGAACGCAGGAGGGAGTCCAGGGTGTGGAACCCAGGAGGGGGAGGGGATCGAGGGTGTGGAATGCAGGAGGGGGAGGGGGTCCAGGGTGTGGAATGCAGGAGGGGGAGGGGGTCCAGGTTTAGAACCACAGGAGTGGAGGGGCCGAGGGGTTCAGGGACTGGAGCCTGGGGTATCTGTGCCCCCATTTCACTGGGCAAAGGGGGCCTCTGTAATCCCTGTCCCGGTTTGCTTAGTAATGGACTCAGAGACAGCACACAAAGAACAGGGTTAGATGTAAGAGAAATCAAATTATTGCCACTTTTCTTTGTTTTTATGGAGTAATTTCTATCAGCATAAGTATGTCATGATTTCTCTCATCTTAAAAGAGAACCTGGTCCTCATCCATCTCTCCAGCTGCCCGTTCTGTTTCTTTGCTCCCCTAGTCTCCGAGTCTGCTCCACCAGTTTTTGTTAAATTTACTCCAATCGACATTTCGCCCCCAACCCTCCATCAAGACTGTTCCTGCCAGGGCCCCAGCGGCCTGTTGTCCTGAGGCTCGTGCTGAGCTCCTGGCTTTCATGCTATCTCCCCACAAGCCGACCACACGTGCAGGGCTGCAGCCAGGACACCTGGGAGGGAGGGGCTCCTAAGCAGCCACAGGCCCCACGCAGGTGGTCGCCCCAGCCGGGACACCTGAGGTCTCCCCTCCTTGCCCCCACCCCACCCCTGGGGGCCTCACCCCCCAAATGCCCATGACTCCCAAACCTACAGGCTGCTGGGGCCGAGCTCCCATCCCTGGCTCACATGCGGGCTTGGCCTCCCCCATGCTCCTTCCCTTCTCGGGTGACCGCTCCCTCCAAACCTTGGGGCCAGCTGCACTGCTGCCGCCTGGTGGGGACACCATGCCCTTCCCGGAGACTGCAGCCCCTCCCACAACGCACCTTTGCCCCATTTCACTGGGCAAAGGGGGCCCTGAAGGCCACGGGCCAGGGTGCCCGCCGCTCCCTCCATGACCGGGCCCCTCACCTCCCTTCTCTCTCATTCTTCCCTTTCCAAACTCCACACCCCTGTGCACAACCTACTTCATTTCCTGAGAATGTAAGTAGCAGGACTTTATTTTGTTTACTGTTGGGTCCAAGTGTGTCAGAACCCGGACATTTCTTGCGGACAGCGACGGGGTGACCGGCCCAGGGCACCTGTGTCTGACTTCCTCTCTGTTGTGCACAGGTCACAGATGCCACCCTGGGCAAGGCTGGGCAACGGTGCTGAGTGAGCCCCATGAGGAACGGCCGGCGTCCTAGGGATCTGGATGGCGAGACCCGGCCCTCAGGCCAGGCGAGAGCTCCCAGGGTCGCCTGCCGAGCAGCCACCATGCTGCTGGACGCCGGCTGACTGCTGCCCGCCCAATCCCAGCACCGTTCCACACTCCCTTGACTGAGGTTTTCGGAAGACCACTGAGGCGTTTCCCACGTACGTGCGTGGGATGCACGTGGACAAAGCCCGCGGTGGTGCGATGCCGTGTTTCAACCGTAACTACCAGTCAGCGCCGGGGCTGAACTCGGGCCGTTTGCATTAACGATGAGGACGACTGACGCGGCACATGGTACGTTATTTTCAAAGATGAAATAAAGCTGGGTTTAAAAACTGTGACTTGGGCGCCTGGGTGGCTCAGTCGGTTAAGCGACTGCCTTCGGCTCAGGTCATGATCCTGGAGTCCCGGGATCGAGTCCCGCATCGGGCTCCCTGCTCGGCGGGGGGTCTGCTTCTCCCTCTGACCCTCCCCCCGCCATGTGCTCTCTCTCTCTCATGCTCTCTGTCTCAAATAATCTCTCTCTCAAATAAATAAATAAATAAATAAAATAAAAAACTTAAAAAAAAAATAAAAACTGTGACTTATCGTGAAGCAGCCGGTGTGCGAGTTCTGCCGTGGGAAAGCCCACGCCAGGCCATCGTGCTACCCTTCCAGCTGGAGGCCGCGCCAGCCCGGCAGCCCCAGCCTGCCCGGTGAGGGGCTCCGGCCTGCCTTCTGGAAGGGGCCCCGCCCATGTCCCCACCCCTGGGGTCAGGACAGAGATCTGCGCGGGGGAGGCGGTGGGGGCACCCCGGGCCCCCCCAGGAGAGCCGAGGCACGGCCCACCTCGCGTGCCACGTTCTCCCCCCGCACCGGGCTGGGCACGGCTCCGGCCCCGTGGTTTTGGTGAGCGCCCGTTGTGCGGGAATGCAGCGGCCCCGTGCAGGGAGACCGCCCGTTCCTTTACTTTAGAGCTCCACCTGAACAGTTCCCTCTTTCAGAGCCGCCGGCCTCCACGGCAACGCTCACGGTCAGGACTGACAGCCCGTCGAGGAGGCGGCGGCGGGAGCTCGGGGCGAGGCCGCGGGTGCCCGCCTCAAGCTTGCTCGGCCATGCCGCCTGCCCGCGGCCGCACACCCAGCACCCGGTTCCTCTTCTGTGGGCCCCTCGTGCCCTTGGGGGCCCACAGCTGCCTTCTCAGATCACGGGCACGTGGGGTCGGGCGGGCCCAGATCCGGCACTCCGGCACTCGCGCTCGCGCCCTCCTCCGGGAAGAAGGGAGACGTGAGTAAACCACACGCTGACCAACACCGCTGCACACCCCTGTCTCCGGAGATGGAGCCCAGGGCTCCAGGCCTCAAATACGCGAAGCGGCCTCTCAGCCACCTGGCCAGCGCCGCGGAACGACAGACCCAACCGCACTTCCTTCCCTCTGCCCGCACGTGAGCCATGCACGCGCTCCTGGAAACCGGGGTCCCGCACAGCGCTCGTTCAGCTGGGGATAGAAGAGGAGCCGGAAGGTTGCTGTCCCAAACAAAGGGGAGCACGGGGGCCTCCGAGTCAGGCAGCTGGCCCTGTGATTGACTTCGTTCCTCCGCACATGCAGTCTATGAGTCCGCACACATTTACCACGGGCAGACGTGGACCGAAACCTCGCGGACAGCACGACCATTTCACATAAGATCCGGGAAGCCTGGCGGGTGAGGGGCCCTGAGGGTGGAGGGCCTGCTTCTTTCTCTAGGAGGGTGTGATGGGGGCCTCCCTGAGGGGGTGGCCTGAAGCATGAAAAGGAGCCATCTGAAGTGGTCCACCGAGGGGCAGCAAGCGCAAAGGCCCTGAGGCCAGAAGATCTGCCAACTAGTGAGGATGGGGACCCCGGGGCGAGGAGACGTACAAGCCTGGAAGGACCGAGAGTGTGTTGGGGGTCCTGCTGCCCCCTCCCAGCATCGTGCCTCTTGCGGCCTCGACATCAGACCTGGGTCACTGGCTGTTCACATTTCCAGATATAACATGATTCTTTGCCTTTTAAAACATCTAGGAGTGCCCGGAAACACAGGGCCCTGTGACCCCCAGCTCAGCACTGAGCCAGCTCTGCAGCCAGGCCGCCTCGGCCTGCTCCGGCCACCGTCTCCTGCACTCAGGACGGCCCCCACCCAGAAGACCAGGGACTGCACGGGCGTCCATGGTCAGCAGCCCACCCCAGCCGTCCCCATTTTCTCTCCAAATCCCTTGAACTTGTCCTTCCCTAAAACCACTGCGTGTTTAGTCATTTCACACTCAAGGGGCTGCCCTGTCCCACGTGCCCGTCGCGGTGCACACGGGGGGCCAGAGTTACCATCCTGGGTACCCCCCATGTCTTCGAACCCCGGCATCCTAGTGTCCCTTCCCCAAGGACCCTCCCCAGTGCCTCTCCAGGGGGAGCCCGCATCTTCCGGCCACCTCACAGCCGTGAGCTTACACTCCTGCCCCATGGCCTCGGGGGCTGAGCAGGCCTGAGACCGCCGTCCTGTCTCTGATCCCAGGGCCCAGACAATGAACAGAGATGCTCTGAGGTATTGCAGCCCCACCAGGAAGCCCCTCAAGGGCGCACGGCCGGCCCAGGGGTGCTAAGGAAGCTGCTGGGCTCCCAGGCCGCCCGTCCGGAGCCCGGTGCTTGGAAAGAAAGGACGGCAGACCCCATGTGACCCAGGCCGTGGCCCACCTTTCTCCTGCCAGGAGACTACTCAGCACCCACGTCCCTGAGGAGGGCTCCCCCCCAGGTTGCTAGAAGAATCTAGGACCCCGCAGCACTGATCGGTGATAGGCTGTCACTGGTTGGCAGTTTTCATACAACAGGAACCAGTCAATCGAATTTGCTGTTTTGGTCTGTTTTCTGGATTAGACTAATTCACGGAGCTTAATTTACACAAATTCAGAAACCTGTCCTTATGGACGCTGAAGAATGAGGGTGGCGTCTCCGGGGACCCAGGGGGCTGAGCTCCTACGCTGCAGCTGACCTCCTCCTCACCCTGATGTCACCGGAGGAACGAGATCACCCACGAGGCTCAACAGCCATGGTGTTCGCTCATCAAGGTGTGAGGTCCACATCCTCACCACTTCTCGTGGTGGAGTGGGCGCCCTGGGTGGTGTGGCGTCCGCCCCAGTGCGGCCGGGGAGCTACGGAGGAAGTTTCCCTGCCTTTCTGGAAGAGGGGCTCCAGCTCTGCTCATAATAAAACAGAACCACAGTTGGGGGAGTCGCCTCTGGGGTCAGTTCTCCCCCCGCGAGAGCGTGAGGGGGACGACGGGTCAGGCCGAGCCCCAGAGGGTCTCAGAGCCACTCTGTGCCGTGGCCTCCTTCCCGTGGCACAAAAGCCCCTGCCACTCACAGTGGCCTGGTCTGTTGAACGGATCAAGGGAAGGTCCCGGGCTCCATCGGACCCCAGGCGCTGGGGCTGGAGCCGACACTTCCCAAGGGCAGGGGCAGGACGCAGGCTCTGGACCCCGCCGGCTCTGCGGGGCCGTGAGCCCCTCAGCACCACCTCCTTCTCTGACAGCCTGGGGCTCAGCGACACGCACCTGGGGATGCTGGTGAGGTAGGTCATGACATTCTGGAACTCCTTGTCGGGGACGTCGCTGAAGGCCGGGTAGTCTGGGAAGGTGATGACGGGGCTGCCGTCCTGCCCGCGCCCACCTGGGGAGAGAGTGAGGCAGCGCTTAGTGCGGGCGCCTTCCCGGAGCACCAGCGTCCGCTTAGAATTGATGGCGTTTTGTCAAGGTTGTGCTTGCTTATTAGGAAAGACGTGTGTGCTTTCCAAGGAACCCCTTGGTGTGGACAAGAGTGACACGCATTCCAATAATCCCCCATTATTCTGCCGCCACGGGGCAGCCGCCAGAATTCGCGGCCCGTTTCCTCCAGAATGTTCCCTGTGCCTCTTTCCACACGATTGCGCTGCTGCTTGTCCTGTTTGCTCGCTAACGCCAAGAAGTACGGCTCTCTGTGCCGGAAGCTGCTTTAAACCCTGCACAGTGCCCAGCCTCCTACCCTAGCCGACCTCCTAAGGCTTCAGATAGTTGGGGTCTGAAGGGGGCCATCCCTTTGGCAGTGTGAGGGGGGAGGGCACTAGGCGGGTGGGAGACCTGAGGGACTTTGCTGGTCGGGTGTGGGGTTCGGGACCTGGGAAGAGGAGCTTGAAGAGGAGGCTGAGTTTGGTCTGGGGCTCATGTGGTCTGAACCGTCCTGCAAACAGTCCGGGGAGGGGCTGAGAGCACGCAGGAGTCACTGGGACCCAGGCTCCAGGTCGGCCTGCTCGCCGGTGCCGGGGTGGCTGGAGACAGCCCCCTTGAGGGATGGGCCCATCTCTCCTGCCCCGACCCCCTGTCCTGGCTGTCGGATGCAGCATAAGTCATGCGGTGTAGCTCTCTGGGCTGGACCGCAAGACACGCAGTGTCCACCCTCCCTGCTCCGAGCTCCCTCCTGGGGAGGAAGCCCGCACTGCCAGGGAGGGAGCGGCCAGCATCACGCAGGGGCCCCGAAACGCCTCGTGTGTGAGAGAAGCCCCCTGACGTTCCAGCTGGCCAGCGCCACCCGGGGAGAGAGAACCACACGGCCGGCCCTTCCAGAATTCCTGCCCAGGAAATTCACAACAAACCAGTAAAAGGGCTTGTTTCGAGCTAAGCTTTGGGTCAGCCTGGGCCGCAAGCATGGGCTCCGCACATCCTGGATCTCACTGAAGCGCATACGGGCAGCCCCCCGCCACAGCTCGGGCCATGGGGCACCTCCTGGCATTTCTCAGGCATGTCCTGCATTATCCTGCCAAATTACGATGACGTCCAAAAACAGCAGGTATCATGGCCATTGATGGAATGATGCTGAAAACCTGACTGTGTCTGGGAGACCCGGGGAGGGGGGCAGATCCTCCTGACGCGTGCAGGGCACACCGTATGGGCACTACTGGAGAAGGGGTCGGGCGCACCCTGAGCCACGCCGACATTCTCCGTGGACGGTGCCGGGTGTGGCATGACATGGGACGGGTCCCCCGTCAGTGTCACTCAGCCAGATCCCCGGACTCATGCTCCTTCGTGTGGGAGGAGGCTGGCCCCCATGAGGCCCAGCCCGCTAGGTCAGGCCCACAGGGCTGATCTCACAGCCACCGAGGGGGTCCTTCGTCACGTCCACATAGTCCCCTCCCAAGCTGCTGGCTGGAGTTTGGATACTAGAGAAAAGGTGTGTCTGGGGGGTGGGGGGCTCGGGGCCGGCCTGCGACCCTGCTTCCTCCCCAAGTAATGCCAAGAGTGGTGGGATTATCACCTGCAGGAAGGTCAAGGTCATGAATCTGGGTCACTGGTGCACTAGAGCCGTGAGCCTTTGGGGTCCTGAAGGGGCAAGAACAGGTTGGGGAGATGGAGGGAGCCGGCAGAGGGCCCGCAGCCTCCTGGCTAAGCATCTCGCCGCTGGGCACCATGACCCCCGTGTTGTCAAGGGGTTCTCACTCCTCTGAAGGATACCCCGCTTCTCCCCGCTGGGAGCAGTGCCTCTCCCAGTGACCAAGGCACCACACGAAACAAACCTGCCTTACTGCTGACGTGTCCCCACAGAGACCCCCATCCTGCTGACAACCTTCGGATCCCACGGGGACCCCTGAGCTCCGGGGCCACACGTCAGGGCCATGCGCCAGGGCCATGTGTCAGGACCACACGTCAGGGCCACACGTCAGGGCCATGCGTCAGGACCATGGGTTAGGACCACGCGTCAGGATCATATGTCAGGGACCACACGTCAGGACCACATGTCAGGGCCACACGTCAGGGCCACGTGTCAGTGCCACGTGTCGGGGCCCACACATCAGTGCCACGCATTGGGGCCCACACGTCAGGACCACGCATCAGGGCCACGTGTCAGGGCCACGCATCAGGGATGACACGTCAGGGCCACGCATCAGGGCCACATGTCAGGGACCACACGCCAGGACCACGTGTCAGGGCCACGTGTCAGGACCAAACGTCAGGGCCATGCATCAGGACCACATGTCAGGACAACGCATCAGGGCCACTTGTCAGGGCCACACGTCAGGGATGACACATCAGAACCACATGTCAGGGCCACACGTCAGGGCCCACACGTCAGGGCCACGTGTCAGGACCACACGTCAGGGATGACACGTCAGAACCACACGTCAGGGACCACACGTCAGGGCCACGCGTCAGGACCATGGGTTAGGACCACGCGTCAGGATCATATGTCAGGGACCACACGTCAGGACCATGTGTCGGGGCCACGTGTCGGGGCCACACAACAGGACCACGCGTCAGGGCCATGCGTCAGGGCCACGTGTCAGGGCCCACGCGTCAGGGCCATGCATCAGGGATGACACATCAGGGCCACGCATCAGGGCCACATGTCAGGGACCACACATCAGGACCACATGTCAGGACCAAATGTCAGGGCCACGGATCAGGACCACATGTCAGGACCACGCATCAGGGCCACTTGTCAGGGCCACACGTCAGGGATGACACATCAGAACCACACATCAGGGCCACACGTCAGGGCCCACACGTCAGGGCCACGTGTCAGGACCACACGTCAGGACCACGCGTCAGGGCCACGCGTCAGGGCCCATGCGTCAGGGCCACACGTCAGGGCCACACATCAGGGATGACATGTCAGGGCCATACATCAGGAACCACACATCAGGGCCACATGTCAGGGCCACACGTCAGGACCATGCATCAGGATCACGTGTCAGGGCCACGCATCAGGGCCACGCATCAGGACCACATGTCAGGACCACACATCAGGGCCACTCGTCAGGGCCACACATCAGGGATGACACGTCAGGGCCACACGTCAGGGCCCACACGTCATGGCCATGCGTCAGGACCACACGTCAGACACCATACGTCAGGGCCCGGCTGGAGGAGTGGCTTCCAGCCCAGGGGATGGGCAGGTGAGCCAGGGAAGGGCCAGGGCAGCCCTGGGGGGTGCGGGGCTGGTCTGGGGGCTCATGAGGGGAGAGGGCCGTCTGCATCTAGGGCCACACGCCGGAGAAGGAGAGGCCCTGACTGACAGCACAAGGAACCCGTGGGAGGTTGTCTTGTCCAGATGGGGGCCCCCCATGCAGCCATGAGGGCGGCTGCACAGACGTAATCATACCCTTAGCACCCACAATGCACTAGCACCGTCCAGCAGCTGGGGTCGCACACTACGGCCAGCCAGGCAGGACAGCAGGTCATCCCACAGGGTGGAGGCAAACTGGGACCTGAGGGGAGTGTGGCAGCCATGCAGCATCTGGGGATACAGGGGGACCTCAGGATAGGCTGCTGGGGCAGAGTCGGCCGCTTGTCCATGTCGGCTGCACTCTGGGGCCTTCTCTGCAGAAGCTAGGTGTGCTTGGCTAGGGAGGCCCCCAGCCCCTGGACGCTGCAAGAAGGAGGTCAGCTGTGCCCTATTTCTACATCACCTGCCCCAGGAGCGTTCTGGAGTCTGCAGGCAGAAGCGCTCGGGCTGCGTCGCTCTCAGGACCCCGAGCTGCCCACCCCCAGCTGCACAACATCTCCCGGCCCTCAGTGAAATCCAAAGCAGGCCATGTCCTAGGCCTTGTCCCTGGTTCCCAGCACTTGGGCCGGGCCCACGTAGTCACAGGAAACCAAGGGGTGCCCACAACCTGGCATGCGGACCCTCCCTCCTGCCCACCCCGCGCTCACCAGACAGATATGCAAAGCGCTTCTTCAGCTGGTCCTGGATGTCCACGGCGCAGAGTGGGGTGATGTCCCGGTGCATGATTTCATCTGCAGGGAGAGCAGACAGACACCACTGTCATTCGGTGGAAACCGCCTTACGCAGCCGCGCACATCCACGAACACCGAAGGGGACCAGCGGTCACGTGCTTGGAAAAAGGGATTCCAGTTTCCAATGCGCAGAAACCTTTGTTTCTCAGCGCACAGGAAGCTGTGTGCTGGGTGATTCATCAATATTTAAGATGCGGTGTGTGTGAGAGGCACAGAAAGGAGGTGGGCAGGCGGGAGGAGGGACGGATGGACGTGTAGGCAGAAGGGCGCAGGGACTCGAGGGTGGGAGTGAGGACAAGCCGCCAGCAAGGAGCACCCAGGGGGCACACAGCCTCCGCCCCTGCTCTGGAAGTGGTCTGGGCACCCCCAGGGCCAGTGCAGTCTGAGCAGACACCTGCAGGTCAGCGAGGAGCCCCGGCCACCGCTGCGGGTCTACACCCTCCATACATGCACGCGGGAACGTGCAGAGCTCTGTCCCATGCACGGGCCCCCTGCCTGCCTGACGCAGACACAGAGGAAGGGGTGCCCAGCTGGGTCCCTGAGCCAGACGCTGGCGGGAACGGGGGCTCAGCCTGCAGGCCGCAAGTCCTAGATCAGGGGCCTGGGGTGGGGCTGCCGCATGTCTCTGTGGAGAGCGTGGAGCTGGGGCGCCCGCCCTTGCTCTGGTGTCTGCCAGCCTCGCTAGCAATCATGTGACCCCAGCTGAATGGCAGAATTTGCCTTCTGGGACACTAACACCATTTCTCCAAGGAGACTCAGGACCCATGCTGATGCCTCGCAGATCCTGCCACACCCAGTTAAAGACCCAGGCCGTGAACAGCTTGGAGATCCGGGTCCGAACTCTTCCACCCGGAAAATCCCTATGGCGGCAGCAAGACGCTCCCTGCACGGACCAGCCTGGAAGCCTGCTCTTCTGGTCTTGCAAACAAGCCAGGGTAAACGATGACACACTGGGCACACGGGCGGGTCCCCCGTGGAGCCGCCACCCACCCCGAGCCCGCTCGGCCCCACAGGGCGGCGGTGGCGGTGGCTGGGGTCAGGAGGTGACAGCAGTCAGTGCTCATCACACTCAGAACGCGGGACCTGACAGGGAGGCCGCTGCCCACGGGCAGTGCAGCGTCTCCGCAGCGGCTCTCCTCTGTGGGAGGAAAACAGGGCTGAGAACAACTGATCTGAGAGCGTGGAGCGTGTTTCTAAATTCCAGACGATGTCCGCACGCACTCGTTTGCAGCTCGCAGCCTGGACGGTGGGCGACGTTCAGATTTTCCTCCCCTCGGAAGGAAGGAATAAGTGTGCGGTTAATACCGCACCTGTGCCCGGCTCCTCGCATTCAGCCTCTGTAACCCCGGAGACGCACGCCATGGAGCACAGGCCATGGGGGGCGAGGGCTCCAGAAGTCTGGAGACGTGCCAGGGCCGGGGGAAAGCTGCAGACACTAAGTGGGCAAGTCCCTTAGCGGGGACCCAGTGTCGGTGACGAGCGTTCCCCAGACCTCACCATCACCGGCACCTCAAGACTCCCGCCAGACTCCACCAGCCCACAAGGAAAGACGACTACGGGCGTCCAGGCCTCTGACGGTGGACACTGCACGGTCATCCTCAGGCCGCGTCCGCCTGGCAGAGCCTTCTGGGCAACACCTCCTCCCCAAGCTCCCAGAGTCCTGAGCTCGGTCCTGCATGAGCAGTCTGCTCTGTGCCCAGCTCACCCGACGGCACAGGGCTTTCCCACGTACTAGGGACAGGCCTACTATTACCAACCATTCCTGTGCTGTCTGGCAGAGAGACGATCCCACGGGCCAGATAGCTGTCAACACGAATTTGGTTCCTTGGGAGAGACATCTCTGGGCCTCGTCAACCACCGTCCTCCACAGGCGCTGGCCACTCTCGTGTTCCCAGAGCTCCTCCAATGGGTGGACCAGGTCCCTCAGGCCTCAGGGCCTTTGCACGAGCTGCTTCCTGTAATGTGTCTCCCATGTCTGCCGGCCGGTCCAATCTTACTCTATTCTTGGCCAAGAGGTCATGTCTTCAGGGAGGCCTTTCTCCACCTCCTGGCCCCAGCTGGGCCTCACAGCGCCCTGCACGCCCACCGGAGCGTCTGCAGGCCACTACGCAAGCCCAGGGCCCGGCCCAGCACCCGCTGTGATAGGAGCTCAAAGAACTTGCGCTGAACAGGGGAAGCGAGGGGCGCGTGACACGGTGACTTCCTACGGCAGCATTTGGAATCCAGCTAGTTCGGCAAAGTTCTTCCTGACGTGCACACAGGCTGGTGCAGGATTTCTGGAGCCTGTGGACTGCTGACCGCGGGGCCATGTCAACTTGCAGCCGCGCTGTAGATCCCACACTCGCGAGGCTTCTGGGGCAGAACGCATTCTAATACTGTGTCTTAGATCGAAGGCCCCTTTTTAGGTGTGAACGATAGTGTCACTCTGTGCACAGCCCGAGCCGGAAACAGCACACAGATGGGTCCATAGGCATGGACTCCATCTAGAGGTCCTTCCGGCTTATGTGGTCACTGCCTACCCCTCAGAGAGCTGGAAATAAGTAAGGACCATGGCGCGAGGGGCTTGTCGCTGTCACCTGCTTGCTTCTGCCCCCCCGGCATCTGGACCTGCGGGTGCAGTGGGCAGTTCTTCCATGTGGGCCAGGCCCGCACTTTGCGGCAGAGGACATGGTGACTGCCGGCTCAGCAGGAAATGGAGGAACCCTCGGGGGAACGGGCAAGCCTCCCCGGCACTCCAGGGTCAGAAGTCTGGACAGGAAGGGGGTCGCCCCACCCGCGGGCCCAATAAAAGGGTCAGGCGAGGCCCCGCGCCTTCACAGAACGGCTCTGTGTGAGCACAATGCCGCACAGATAACTCCCCGTTTCCAGCATTCCTGTCTCAGCCAGATGTGAAAGGAGACCCCCGGGCAAGGAGCCTGTCACAGAATCACGTCCGGGAGGTCAACGAGGGTCTGGTCGCAGAGAGGGCAGCACTTCCCTTCGGGGCCCTGCAGGGGCGGGGCTGGGGGCCCAGCACAGGGCAGGGGACACGTGGCCCACTCATCCCTTCGACGGGAACCACCCCTCGCCTCACAGTTTAGCCGCCCTGGGACCCGGCTCAGCTCCAGACTAGTCCACCACCATCTGGGAGCCCTTTGGGACCATAGTGGCCCCGGGTGCAGATGAAGACGTGCAGACCTGAGGCCCACGCCCCTCCTCAGAGCTCCAGGCCCGCATCTCCCAAGGCTGCGCGCCCTTGCCTGGCGGGTCTGCGGCTCAGGCCTGCGTGGGAACCACCTGGGGGCCTCGGTAAGGTGTGCACAGAATGGGTGCCCTGCATGTCCTACCCCGCCTGCCCCACGCTGGCTGCAGTCCCAGCACGAGCTGTGCCTCCAGGCGACGCGGTGCTGAGGTCAGACCCGTGTCCAGTCGGACGAACGGCAGGTCCGAGGCTGCGCTGTCCGTGGCGCACTCAGGGACGCCAGGAGGGGTGCCTCTATCCACCATCAAGTGGACGTTTGCCCGTTCATCAACACCTGTCTTATGAAGGATGTCAGCCAGGTGGGCCGCCGGATGCCCTGTGCACGCCCACTGCAGGCCAGGCCCCGCAGGGCGTCCCACTCACACCTTATACCCGGGCTTGCGGACACTCACAGCACACACTCCGTGGGCTCTGAGCGAGACACAACTTGGTACAAAGTAGCTTTTGGAACACTGTCCCATAGGAACGTAGCGGCGTCAGCCTGGCCCCGGGGGCTGCCTGAAGCCAGGCCTTGGCGGAAGCCCAGCTTAGCGGCCCCACACCTCTGTCTTTGCCACGGGCAGACAACCAAGTCCCAGTGACCCTCAGAGTCCTCCTCAACACAGGCTCCAGGCCGCCTGGGCAAGCACGCGGAGAGGGTCCAGGGGCCCAGGCCAGGGCAGGGCCCCCGAGTGTAGGCAGTGCTCACGACCTGCCTCCCCACCAGCCCCGAGTGTTTCTCCGGCCCGGCTCCCGCGGTGGGGCCGCTGGGGTCGGAGCCCCCGAAGGTCTCTGTGCGCGGGCTCCACAGTCGGGGACAGCAGGGACCCCTCCTGACTGAGTGGACCCCGGGTTCCAGGGGCTGGCAGGGCGGCCAGGAGCTGCTCCAGTAACCGGTGGGGACGCACCCAGCTCGTCCTCGCTAAAACGAAGACACGACTTTCGGGGAAGTCCGACACAAGCCCCAGCTGGGCCAACGGCGCAGAGAAGGAAAAACCTCCCCCAAACCCACCCAGGCCTCAAATCAGTCAAGAAAGCAAGCGTTTCTTGAACGTCTACTCCACGGCCGGTTGGCGCAGCGTAAATACCAGCGAAGTGCAGGAATCTGCTCAACTCAGGCTGGTGAGAGCAGCCACGGGACTCTCCTGTCGACGCGCGAGAAAACCCGTCATTGTAGAGACGTCACTGCTACCGGAGACTCTTCGCGTATCCGTGCATCTGTCACAACCACCCGGCAGGCAGGAGCATTATATTCCGTCTGTTGGACGAGCAGCCTAAGGCACAGAGATGTCCAGAGACTTGCCGGAGGCCACACAGCAGGGAACGTGGAGATTCTAGGAGCAGAGCCTCAGAGGGAGGGACAAGATACTGTCCATCTGAGGCTTGTCATGCGGGTGACCTTCGGAGACGGGTTAGTAAGTGCAGACGCTCCTTGGGGCTTGAAGGGCTCGAAGGAGCAGAAGCAGGAGAAGTCGGACCTCTTGGTGAGCTTGGGCCACAGCAACAGCGGACGGCAGGGTCCTGACCATCACGTGCTTCGGTGGGTCCCCGACCCTCGTGTCGGTGGTCAAAGAAATGACATTCAGCCGATCCCAGAGGCATTGAAAATCACCCCATAGTTCTGTATTTGTTTTTCTTTGTTAGAGTCTGAGTAGCGTCTGACTCGAGGTCGTAAACGCTGTCCCTGCTGCAGGTGGAGGAGACCGCGGGGTGGGTGGCGATCGGGCTCCTAAGCCCACGGTCAGGCCGCGGCCTGGAGGCCCGGCTCAGGGAGCAGCCG